AGAAGAACTTCACCTACTAAAAAGCAAACCCTTGAATCAAGATCTATCCTATTTTTCTGAGCTCTTGCTCTCTTGATGGCCATGCAGAGAAACTGTCTGCGTAAATTGTCCCCTAGTGTGTGGCTTCCACAGAGCATGCAATAAACTAAAGACATGGAGGTCCAGTCAGGGAGATATTAATTTGGAAATTCCCTCTCTTGTTCCTCCAGAGACCAATGCCTGGAGATTTCCAGTAGTCCTCTCTGGGAGCTAGGAAATCACACTAGTGCTAAAGTAGCCTCACCTCTGCTCAACGGGTTGCGTCTCAGAGCTCAAGAGACTGGGCTGCTTCCATAATTTGAGCCTTCCAATATATTTAAAGAGTGAGAAAATATGTTTTAATATTAGAAACACCATGGGGAATCTTAAATGTTTACATGTGAGAATGGAACTTTTTTTTTTAACATAGAGAAACATAATACAACTTAATCATCCTTCTCACAAGATGATTATAGGAGTTACAAACGTACGGAGACAGCACACTATCGGTGGTGCGGTCTGGTAATGAGGTATCAGTTCAAAATTATGTGACAGAATGCCTTCTGTTTCCACTCCATCGTTGTATCTTTGTGAGGCTCTGTGACTTCAAAGTATCACAAGTCTGGGTCTGAGGCTGCTGTGAATTGGGCTCTTGCCAAATCAACACCCCATCCCTCTGTGTTCTGTGTCCTTTGATTCTTGTTGCCTCTGTGCCATCCCTGACCTGGGTTTGGAAGGAGTCAAGATCGGAGTGTGTCGGCATTTTGTATAAGTATCAGGCTGATAGAGCATGAGGAAGTGACCCTTGTAGGAACCTCCCTTCCATGGGGACAGCTCTCCCTTCTGTATCCAGATGTTGACATTTTTATTTATTTATTTATTTATTTATTTATTTATATTTTTAAAGATTTTATTTATTTATTTGACAGAGAAAGAACAAGTAGGCAGACAGAGGGAGAGGGAGAAGCATGCTCCCCGCTGAGCAGGGAGCCTGACGCGGGGCTCGATCCCAGGACCCTGGGATCATGACCTGAGTGGAAGGCAGATGCTCAACAGACTGAGCCACCCAGGCGCCCCCAGGTGTTGACATTTTTAGATCGTTGCTAGTCCACAGAGACTTCGGTGAAGGAAAAGAAAAGAAGTAAATGTAAAATCAATGTCTTTTTATTTTTTTAAATAATGAACTATCTGTTGAAAGATTTGGGGCCAGAGACTTGGCTGATGAATACAGTGAACTGTGTTTTATCTCCAAGTTACAGGTAGTTGTGGTTGAGACTCTCTTGGTTTTAAAAGTATTTATCGTTCAGGGCGCCTGGGTGGCTCAGTCGGTTAAGCGTCTGCCTTAGGCTCAGGTCGTGATCCCAGGGTCCTGGGATCCAGCCCCAAGTCCGGCTCCCTGCTGAGTAGGGAGTCTGCTTCTCCCTCTGCTTGCCCCCCCCCCCGCTTGTACTCTCTCTATCTGTCAAATAAAAAAAAAGTATGAATTGTTCTCTGACTTCAGCCGTAGATCAGCGGTGCATTCATGAAATAGTGCAGGGGTTTGGAGCATCAGTTGTATAAGAAGGACTGAGAGAGCTTGTTAAAAAGGCAGATCTCAGGCCAGTGCCCCACCCCAGTCCCAAGGCACGGAGTCCCAGGCCAGCCAAGCACCCCAGGTGATTCAAGAAACAGCTCAGGAAACACTGCAATGGGGGGCGTGGACCCCCTTAGGCCTTTTTAAAGGTGCTGATGCGTGATCAGATCTTTGGCCTACCCACCCCCACCCCAAATCAGAATTGTAACAGTACTCTGCACCGTCTCCAGACTCCATTTTTTTGTTTCGTTTCGTGTTGACCCGCTGAACTTCACATAGCCTGGCATCAACAGGACGAGGCACAAGAACTGATTTCCCTGGAGAGGGATCCTGCTGTCACATGGTGGGAGATGCTGTCTTGTTTCAAAACAGAGAAATAAAACCCTCCATTGAACTCAGTGGTCTCCCTGAAGAGGTCGGAAAAGTAATCCAGTGGCGTGTGTTTGTTTCAAGCCTGTGTTGTTATTAATCCTGTTACAAATGATAATGCTTTCCATTTACAGGCTTGCTGTCTCCGAGGAGTTTTATGTATTGCGTACTAGACCCTGCTGGGTGATTAAGCCACTCACTCGGCAACTTACAGACCACTCGAGGACTGTTTGCTTATAGCCGGCTATGGCACTTCCCGCTGCGTGTGCTGAGTGGTGCATTCCCTGGTGCTTAGGGCTCCTTGCGAAGGGAGTGTCCTCAGGGCCTAATGCAGAGGGGGTCGAGGCCCAGAGGGATGGGGTTCTCCTTTGGATCCTTTCCCTTTCTCATTCCTGCATCATCAGAAGCTTCTTGGGGGACAAATGGGGGCAGGGGCAGGGCTGTAGCTGTCTTTTTAAGGTTTGTTATCTTACAAGGAAAACATATGGGAGCCCTTTAGAACACAAGAGGCAGTCAATTCAGTACTTTTGTAAAGAAGAGAAAGACATAGCATTTTTCATTTACCCTGTGTTAAAGTTTCAACCTAGAAGACAGAGACCTGGTAGCTAATTGAGTATATGGAAGAATATGGGACAGAGGAATGTCGGGGGGGGAAGGGACAGGTATGCAAGGGAGAGCTTCAGAGGGGCGGTTTGCCCTTTTCTGTAGCCTTTTAAGACAGAGCCTGTCAAAGCTCTGAAATCTACGTGGCCCTTTCAGAACTGAAGTAACTGAGGCTTTGACTGACTGACCTAAGGAACTGGTGCTTTCGCTGCCGCCATATTGTCCCATCCTCACCTGTGGAGGCCCAGCTGACTCCACACTTGACCTGTTCACGCTGAGTCCAGACATGCTGGTCAGAGGGCCGAAGCGAGGCTCATCTTGGGAAAGGGGAAGCCCAGCAGGACCCTCATTTGACCCGTCATGGGAGACAGGAAGGCCAGCGGCAACACAGGTGGGCCAGGGTGTCCCCACCACCGACACAGACCTCAGTCAGTGGCTTTGATTCTCAAGCTCTGTAAGATGACCCTTTCATTTGAGGTCAGATAACACTTATCACACCCCTCAGACTCTTGATCTAACCCAGGAAAATGGCTGAGTACCAGTCTTCTCCAAGACCCGTACCATTTTACCAAGGCATAGGCGGGACTTTTCTGGAAATGCAAGCCAGTCTGACAAATGTGCTGTCATACCCTCCCTCAGGCGCTTTGAGGCAATCAAGGCAGCTAAATGAAACCCTGCTTGCTCAAGTGCTCACAAGAAGCCTCTTTTTACATCTGCGTTTGACTCTGATCGGTGTTTATGAGGGTCCTGTGCGAGGTCGTCTTTGCCATTTGTGGCCTTTCCCGGTGGATAACAACATCCATTCTAAACAAGGAGCAGACTTTTCCCCCTCAAAATGTGAAAGTTTAGGAATTACAGTGGCTGGGATTGAAGAAGCCGTGTGTGGTATTTCTGTCACAATGACAGCCCCATGTTCTGGGTCAGCCCCCCGGGACAGGGAGCCCTCTTTTCAGCCCTTATTCTGTGTTGGGACATGCAGGGGTGGGTTGGGACGGACTGAGTTTGTTCAGGACTTTGAGAACTTGTTGGGCAACCCCCGGGGCAGAGTCTGTTCCTTCTCTGCTGGTACAGCTCTTCTGCCACTACCTGGGCCCAGGCCACCGCCATTTCTTGTGTGGATGATGCAGTGGCCTCTGCTTCCATCTACGTACACAGCATCCCCAGAGATCTTTTGGAAAAGCAAACCCGAATATTACCATCAGTCTACCGCTTCACTCTCCTGCTGAGAGGCAGCCTGTCGAGGTGCTGGAGAGCTGGAGGGCTAGAGTGGGTTCAGCTCTGTTCTAATTTTTTACTAGCTGGGTGACACGGGGCAACTTAATTAACTTCTGCCCTCATCCGTAAAATGGAAACGATGATGATAATAGAACCTACGTAGGAGTGGTTGTGAGGATGACATTTTTATGCAGAGCATTTAGCCCAGTGCTGTTAGTAATTATGTTTATTACGTTTACATTAGTAATATTCTGCCTGAAATTCAGGGGTGTCCTTATAAGCTTAGACTCCAGCTCATACTCTTGACCAAGCCAATGAGGTACAGCATGATCCGAGGCCTGGCCACCTCTCTAGTCCAGTTACTCCTGGCTACTTCTGTGTTTTCTACCCACACCGGCTTTTGTCAGCATCTCTAAAGTCCCAGGCTCTCCTTTGCACAAGCTTATCCTCTACCAAGAATGTTTGCTTCCTTCCCTCTTTGCTTGACCAACTCTTGCTCCTCCTTCCTATGCCAGCCTAATTGTTCCTTCCTCAGGGAGACCTCCCTGGATGACTGAGGTGAAAGTAGGTCCCCATCACTCTCAGCATGTCCCTCCACCACTCCACTCTTTTCTTTCATAGTGTTTGCCACAGTGTGTAATTCTCTATTCATTTGTGTGTAGGTTTGCTTGATCTTCAAGTTCTCCTATGCTTTCGGCTCCATGAAGCCAAGGATGGATCCCCAGCACGTAGCACAGGCCTGGCTTGGGGCCCGTACTGTGCTCCCTAACTTGTGACGAATGAGTACCACTCCCCCATCTGGACTTGTGAGCTTCTTGCCTGGACCCTCTGTTGATGTATGACATGGTGTTTCTTTGCAGAGACCTTTCCAAATACATTTCTAGGTCATAGGTCAGCCATGGAGCTGGGGAGATAGAGCTTAGTGGTTCTCAAAATGTAGCATGTATCAGAAACACCTGGGAGGGCTTGTTAAAGCACTGTTACTGGGCCTGCGCCCAGAATTTCCGATTCTGTAGACTTGGGGTCGGGCCCTCCAGTTCGCACTTCTGACAGGTTCCCGGGCGATGCCAGTGCTGCTGGTCGAGGGGCCACACTTTGAGAACCACTGATAGAGTAACAGTGTCCAGAGGCTGGCTAGATCATGGAATGCCACACAGGAAATAAAGGCTAGGAGAAAAGTGAACAGGTGGCTTGTTATGGGCAATCCAGGTGAGTTTGTCCTAGTTCCTGCCCCACTCACTAAGTATAGTTCTGTGTGAGGTTAACAGCCTTAGAGTGGGAAAAGCCTTTCTTCCTACTTACTTTGTAGCTCAGGTGGTAAAATCTAGGGGCTCTACAGGCTTGAGGCATAGGGTCCCCCAGGAGAAGAATGTTTTAAAGGAGCTCGTTGTAATCTTGCTGTTAAGGCTCCAAAGCTAGGACCCCCGTGGTTTGCTTGAAGCTAGATTTAGCATAGTTATTGATGCCACCTCCTTCTGCAGTGAATTCTTCCAGAAATGCTCCTCATGAAGGACATTTTAGTGGGCCCTCTTGGGTTCCTCTTCACTGACTGAGAGCGACAAGAAAGCTCTTAGTTTGCAGTGGTCCTAGAATAGGTAGGCACTTTCCAGAGTCATGATCTCCTTCGTTCCTCACCATCACAGCCACGATGATGTGTTTGCAGATTTGAGGGACTTTTCATAGGCTCCCTCATCTCCTTACCCCTCTCTGTCAGAGACGGGGAGATGGTGTTGCTGGAACCGGGCCTTTGGAGTCAGATACATCCACATTTGATGTCGCTCCTGCCAGTGTGCGTTTGGATAAATAGCTTCTCGGTTTTTCCTGTCCTATCAACCGGGGCTGATGATGTGCAGGGCAGCTCACAGTGTAGGGGTAAAGCAGAGGAATCAAATTTAAAAGTCTTGCCAGTTCTTCACTCTTGTGACCCTGAGCAAGTGATTGAATCTTACATAGCATCAGCATCACCCTTCACCCTATGGGGATTAGAATGGTGCTTGCCTCATAGGGTTCTTGGGAAGATAAAATACTAGTGAAAGCTGGTGGAACCCAAATACAGTCTGTAGTTGAGTTAATGGTAACGTGCAGTTGTTGAATTCTTGGTTTTGAGAAATCCATCGTAGTCGTATAAGATGTTCACGTGAGGGAATCTGGATGAACGGTATACAGGGAATCTGTTCTGTCTTGGCAGCTTCTCAGCAGATCCAGAATTATTCCAGAAGGAAAAGTGTATTTTAAAAAGTGTTTGTGAAGCATGTGGCCAAGTGCTTGGGATTTAGTAAGACCTCAGTGCATGGTGGTCATTATCGTGCCTGCTAATACAATTATAATTACTACTGCTGATACCTTGAAGGGTCATTTTAACTAATGTGTGTTGTCTGGCTGGCCATTTTACAAAGGGGATATTAGATTCCTGTTGCTGCTATAATAAATGACTAACGGGTGGCTTTAAATAACACAAATTTGTTAACTTATGGTTTTGGAGGTCAGAAGTCCAAAATAAGTCTCATGGAGCTAAAATCATGCATGTTTTCTGGAGGCTCTGGGGGAGACTCTTTTTCCTTATTTTTTCCAGCTTCTAAAGGCAGCCCTGTATTCTGTGGCTCATAGCTCCACCTTTAAAGCCAGTAATCAAATCACGTTGACTTTTGCCTCCATCATTACATCTGCTTCTCTGACTCTGACCCTCCTGCCCCCTTTTGATAAGGCCCTTGTGATTACATTGGACCCATTTGGATAATCCAGGATAATCTTCCCATTTTACAATCCTTAATCATATCAGCAAAGTCCCTTTTACCTTGTCAGGTAACATGTTCGTAGGTTCTGGGGGTTGGGACACAGGTGTCTTTGGGTTACCATTCTGCCCACCCCAAGTGGTACCTGTTCTCTTATTTCCTTGGGTGGAGTTTAGGCCCATGGGCAGAGAGAGGAGCTTTGCTCTCCAGCTGTTTGAGCTCTATGTGGGTGGGTGTCCAGGGTTCAGGCTGCTGCTTAATGTCTAATAGATGTGTGTGATGTACAGCTGAGCATAATATTACTGAGTGTCCTTATGGTAATGGACCCTGATTCTTCTATTGCGGGCTTGATACTTTTGGGCACCAAAATGGCGACACTCAGATAAGTTTTAGCAAATCATGCTAATGTATGTGCTGTTGAGTCTGAAAGCTGATTACACCTAACCCCTTAAAAGCACAGATTGTGGGTCATAGATGAGTCTGGATGTCATATTCCCTTAGGTCTTTGTTCAAGGCCTTATTCCTACCCCTTCCCTTCCTCTTTACCTGCTCCTCTGTCTGTCTGGACTGTCTAGCATGGTAGCCGCTAGCCATGTGTAGCTGTTGAGCACTTGAAATGCAGCTCATCTGAATTGAGATATGCTGGAAATATAAAGTACACATCAAATTTTGTCACACGAATGTGCTATCCACTATACTAGGGAAACAAAAATATACACCAAATTTTGAAGACTTAGTATGAAGAAAGGTATGGGAGCTATTTCATTAATGATGTTTAATATCAATTACATGTTTTACAATAATATTTTGTATATATTAGGCTAATAAAATACATTAGTAAAATTAATGTCACCTGTTCCTTGTTACTTTATAATGTGTCTTCGAGAGCATATAAACTGACCTAGTGGCTCCCATTATATTTCCTTTGGACAGGGCTGGTCTAAATCCTACTCATATTCTGTGTGTCCGCGTGTGAAGGGTCCCCATTATTTCTGCCAGTGTCACGTAAAGGGCTTCCCAGAACTTCTCTATCTCTCTCCTTCCCTTCCTCCCTCCACCGTTTTTTTTTTGTCTTTTTCTTTTCTTTCTCTCTCTCTCTCTCTCTCTCTCCCTCTCCCTCCCTCCCTCCACACTCCTTTTCTGTCCACTTGCAAGGAGTCTGCGAGCTGTCGGCAGAGACGGGAATGTTAAATCATTTGAATCATGACAAGGCTGCTCAGAGAAAAAGGTGGCTGGTGCTTTATACTGGCTTACAAACTTAGGAAGTTAATCGCTACTTGCAGCACCTCTCTTTCCGCCCTACAAAAATCTGGGTTTATTGTTTTGTTTTTGTTGGGGGGCGGTGGTGTAGCTTTTTATAAGCTCCTGGGGAGGGGCACGGAATTGAACATCCTCCTCTCAACCCTACCTTGAAAATGGCCCCTCTGGGGAAGCGCGGTTGTCGGGTGGTCGCTGACCGGCATCCGAGTCATCTGGGGGTGAAAATGCAGATTCCTGAGCTCTGTGCTGCTGGGTTATGCCAGGAAAGAGGATGCATTTGCACCCAGCAAATTAGTAAACACGTGTGCCTGCTGGTGTGGTGGGTGAGCCTGGTATGCCTCAGTTTCCACTTCGGCAAAGTGCTGCCTGGCTTGCGAGAGCCGTGGGAAGAAAGGCTTTTGAGGACAGCAGCTGTCCCTGGAGGAGGGGGATGGAGGGTTGGCCAGTGTGTCTCGCAGATACAGCTGGTCCTCCCTGCCCCTGGCACCCAGCACCTGAAGAAGGCTTGTCCTTCTTGCTTTAGCACTGAAGCGAAAGGCCAGCAGGAGGGCACACGGCCGAGAGCGGCCAGTACAGAGGTGAATGGTGAGGGCTCTGTGGTTAGGCAGTTGGGGTGCCCGGCCTGGCCTTGCCACCTGTCGGCTGTGTGACTTTGTGTGGTTGCTATGACTCCGTGGGTCCCTTCCCCCTTCTGCACATGGTTGTAGCTCCGGATGGGGCTGCCCTGAACACCGCATGGGAGCCTTGGCTACTGCTCTGCTACCATCACTAATGTTCTCCCAGACTTCCGGCGAGTGCCGGGCTCTGATCAGCGGGGAGGGCCCCGCTGACTTCATGGTTTGAACAAGGAGCACCTGCGAGCCCCGAGGTAGGTGTGGGCAAGGGGAAAACGGGACAGCTGGAGCCGGTGAGGAAGCCCGGGGCAGAGAGCCGCCTGCACTGTTGGGATAGGGTCGGTGAGTCGGCAGCTCGTCGTAGAGATGGGGGCCCTTGTGAGGCAGCCCACTCAGCTTCCTCACCCTGGATTCTGCCGAGCCTCCCTTGGCCTGCGTCAGAGGAAAAGCCTGTCCTTGCACCAGGTGAGGGGGTGAGATAAGGACCTGTGTGCTCCAGCAAGCCCAGGGCGGTGAGGAGCCTGCTGGGCCCTGCCCTGGTGGCCGGGCTGGGCCTGGGAGCCACCGGAAGGAAGTGAAGTCATTTTCCAGCTCAGTGCAGTAAGGCCGTGGCCGAGAGGACACATATTTCTGGTGGAAACCTGGTTACCTGGTACCTCCTCTAACTTCTGAGTTCTGGCCTTGTGCCCTTCCTCTGCCCTCTAGCAGTTGAGACCCGGGCCAAGGATTCCCCCTGCGGGCCCCAGGACAGGAGCTTGGAGAAGCGGAAGCCAAGAACCCCCCGGGGCCCAAGGAAGGGGGAGAGTGGGAGCACCAGGCCTCTCTTTGCTCTGACTTCCCCTCTGAGTTTGCAAAAACTTGCAAATTGATCGAAAGAGTAGAGTTTATTTTTCTTTGCTGTGAGGGTCTGCTCCTGGCTGGAGGCTGCCTTTGGTGGGGTTGTAACATTTTATCCACTTGTTTGAATATTCATTTCCTATCTGTGGATTTTTTCCTCTCTCTGCATTTTGGCCTCTTTTCTGTTAGACTGATTTCAATCACAGATTCATTTTTTAAAAAGTAACCGATAGTACCAGTGTGCTTTCCTTTCAGGAATGGCCTTGCTAGTGTTATGTGTAAATATGAATAGCTATGAATATTTAGAGATCGGCGAAGCTGTAAAAATGAGGATGCACACATTTGCCTTGAGGAAATCTCCTTGCAGCTCTCAATGTGATTTTTTTTTTTTTTTAATGCATTCCCTGTGTGAGGACTCTGGCTGATGACCCAGGAGGTGGGGGCTGTCAGCTGAAAGGCCGGGGCCTGGTTTATGAGCTTAAGGAATGTGACCGGAAGGACATGACAGACGTGAGCAAGGAGCACAAGGCTGTTTTTTCCAGTTGTGTTTGGATTGAAATCATACTTAGCAAATGCCACTAATTGAGTTGCTCACTGTGTACTGGGAACTTGAGATCTAGTCCCTCATTTAATCCTTAGACCTACCCTTTGAGGCTGATTATCCTATTTTATAGATACAGGTCCTGAAGCTTAGTGGTTGAATAATTTCCCCCAAGGGCCCACAGCTGGGATCTATTGAATAGAGTTGGGATTTGAACACAGGTGACTTTTATCTTCATAACCATGTTGTTTCGACGATACTACATGTCCCCTTAAGGAGACTTATAATAGGAGAGCGGTAAAGTAACATTTTTGACCATCTGCTGGATGCTGGGAGCTAAGCTAAGTGCTTCACCAGTGTCTCTTGAACTCTCAGCGCCCCTGGGGGTAGGTACTAATATTACTTGGGTTTCACAGAAGGCCAAAGGGAGGCCTAGAGGTGTAAAGTTCCTTACCTGGTACATGGTGGAGTCCAGACCTGGGCTCCTTCCTGCATCATGGAGCCTCCATGGGCTCCTGGTGAGCAAACTGTATATTGAAGGGGTCTTAGCGGTCTGAGAATCCAGTTGGAGTAATGGGCTTACAAGCATGGATTGGAACTTTTTTTTTTTTTAAGATTTATTATTTTAACGGGGGGAGTTGGAGAGGTGCAGAGGGAGAGTCTTAAGCAGACTCCACTCTGAGTGCGGAGCCCAGCACAGGCCTTGATCCCACAACCCTGAGATCACAACCTGAGCTGAAACCAAGAGTCAGATGCTTAACCAACTGTGCCACCCAGGTGCCCCAGGATTGGAATTCTTTTCAGTGGATTGTCAAATATTTAAGAAGCGTCGGTTTTGTGTAAGTTTCTGGGTCTAAGATTCTGGCTCCTCAGAGATACAGAAAACTCTGACACGCCCTGCTCTTGAGGGGCAGGCATTCTGTTTTTGAGTGTTACCACACAATGGAGGGAGCCAGCCCTTCAGGTCTGGGAAAGTGTCCTGGAGTCGATGTTTGTGTTATGGAAGGGTAAGTGCATGGATGTGTTGGGGGCAGGGAGAAAAGAGACCAGTTGGCTTGAGCAAAGCAGTCCTTCCTGATTTTGGAGGGCCTAAGAGGCCAGGGTTTGATCTTCGAGATGGTGGCCTAAAGCCGCCTTGTTGAAATGGAAAGGCTTGGTGTGGGGGGTGTTTCTGAGGTTCATCTGGCAGGTTGTCAGGAATGGATTGCAGGGGAGGGGGTTGAGGCTGGAGAAAGGTCCACCAGGTTACAGAGCTATTGTTGTGAGCCACTGAGCAGGAAAGGGTGAATGTTGGAAGTTTCATTAGGGTTCGTGATTCAGTGGGCTCTGGTCCTTCAGCGAAGGTGAGTAATGCCCGGATGACAGGCAGGAATGGGCCTTACTGGTGTGACTGAGGTGGGAGCCCAGAGGAGAGAGGAACATTTATCCAGCATTAGATGACTTTCCTAGGCTCTGAGAGAGGAACGTGTGAGTTTATCTCCTCTTCCCTCCACAGGGATGAATTGATTTGTATTTTTATTAGAAAACTCTCTACCTTGATTTCCCGTCCTAGTTCGACGGAGTTCCCATTCATT